GAGGGGGGAGGGGCTTTTTGCCTCTAAATTTATTATTTTAATGGGCCTATCAAAAACTTAAATTATTTCATGGAATAATTGCTGATTGTTGCCTTATTCGACTACACCACCCTTTTGGACCGACCTCTTCGTAAAGCTCTCAAGAATCAAGACTGCTCTAGGGGTCGAAATTTGAGACCTTCGACTTTCATTCACAAACACAACAAGTGGACAAGACCCCTTCCCTTCGAACTCCTTCATGTATTTGTTGTGTTTCATACTTTGGATCCAGTGCTTTTATTTGCAGAGCAGGGCCTTATTTATATTCACTCACTTCAGGTTAAATTTAGGGCCCATCAGGTATATACTCAATTCAAAGCCTTATCATAACTTTAGACTGAATAAAGGCAAGTTTTAATTATATTTTTTTTACAGAAAAAATTGGTTAAGTTTCTTATGTTTTCTGATAATATTTAAATTTTTATTTTTCTTCGACCTTCGCAAAAACCTTCCCTTATGCCTTTTACGCCATGTTTGAGACTGCTTAAATTAAAAATAAGTGCTTATTCGAATAATTATTTATTTGTATTTGACACTTATTTTAGGGCTGTTTAACAATTTTTTTTTAAAATATTTTTTGGAAGCTCTGATAATCAAAAGATGATGTGAGCTTTTGCATCAAGATCTTATCAGCTTGAATACCGTTTGGTTAAGGCGCGTCTATTCGCGTATCTCTCTGCACAAAGATGAGTTGAAAAAAGTCAAAAAACTCTATTTGGAGCTTCCCGAAAATAGCTTGAAATGGCCTTATACAAAGTGCTTTATTTCAGGCTTATTTCCCAAACACTAAAAAGTACTTAATGGTGTGGTCCCCACCCAAATAAGCACTTGTTTCCAATAAGCATTTATTTTTAAGCACTCTCAATCATGGCCTTATACAAATATGCACTGTGAGCAAGGTTTTTAAAATCGAACCAAACAACGAACTAGTCAGGGGTCTGGTTCCTAGGTCGAACAATCCGATCGTCTGAACTGAACAGACGGCCCGTTCTAATAAAAAATAAATTAATTAAAAAGTTTTAGAAAATAAAATGGCCAAATTGATGGTTCAACTACTCGACTCAACAATTTGCTGACCAAATCAACAGTTTTTAGCAAAATAACGGTTTTGGAGTAAAATGAAACCGGTCAGGTTTTTCCGATCCAACCGTCCTATCCAGTCCGATTTTGAAAACCATGACTCTTAGTATTGTTCATTCTTCAGGTTGCCTGAATTGAGTACAGTATTTCTGACAATAGGAGAGGTGTTAGTTCAACCCCAACTTCTTCAGTTTTGCAGTTCACTTGAAATTAAACAATGGAACTCAAATAAAGTGAATTACTTTCTGGAGGCAATTCAATAAATCTTCATCCCAACACAATTTTTTGTGTAAAAATGAGATTTTAAATACTTTTAACACATAAGCCAGTGTTTTCCATCAGGACAATCAATGGAAGGGGGGCATTTTCGCGAGGTTTTTATAGCAGAGATCAAAATATTAGGGAGGTTAGTTTCCCTATTTCTTGGCTCAGTTTGGGAAGAGTGCAAATAGTTGTGTTCAGTGCAAAAGGTTTAAAAATGCATATGGACCACGTATAAGGTTTTGCAACATATTTGTATTTTCACTCTTCCAAGGAGCATAAATGATTTACTGATTAGGGTTTGTGACTCTAGGATCAAATGGTGTCCATTTGTCCAAATTTCAATTTAAATTCAATCCATTTATAATTTATAATTTGATCGAATATATTCCTCCCCTATCTGATCCAATATCAAAGTTTCAAGTTTCATATAAGTTAATTCAATTTATTTTTTACACAAAATACGTCATTTTTAATTCATATTATTGATATGAAAGGTGATAAATTCGATGAATAAGATCTCATTCAAATTTGAATATAGACTAAGGCTGCATTTGTTTTAGGTGTAAATTCAGTTTTACATCGATGAAAAATGTGAACTGGTTTAGTTGTCGATAGAAATTGGGATCAGTAAATTTTCAAAATGTACACTAATCATGTTTGGCTGTCCAGGTGTAAATTCGATGAGATGGTGCAGTTCTTTTCCCTGCTACCTAGCTGTTAACATTTCAGTGTTTGAACTAATCTGACAAATTTCGTTGCCGGTTGATTCCGTTTGGACCACATTTCTTCTGTTTACGTCATTGTTTTTCTTCTTCACACAACACAGAGGAAGGCATGTCACCAACCTGGGTCGTTCCCTTCTATTTATAGGGTGATTTCAGTGGCGGTTTCGCCGGTGCCACTACCGCTCTGGGTTCAGACCCGCCGCTACAAAGCAACAGTGACGGAACAGAGAAAGAAAAAAAAGGGGGAAGAAGAAGGGGAGAGAGAGAGAGAAATCGTCGGTGCCACTGTTGCCCTGGGTTCCAGTGCCAATCAAAGCTTTGCCAGTGCCAAAATCTTAGACTAGATGTTTGACGGAGTGCATCGACGCCAATGAGAGAAAATAGTTAAAACAGAGAGGAAGAAAGAGATGTTAGTTATACATCCTTAATTTCGATGTATATTTTACATCGATTATCGATGTAAAAAAATTCAAAAAATGAGTTTTATGCCGATATACTATTTAAGATTACACTCTTTCCAAACAAGTGTAAAATCGAACCGGGGTGTAAAGTTTACCCATGTTCGATTTTCCACCTCAAACAAATGTGGCCTAAGCAAATTTGAATATGCCCAGATCCATTTGCATTCCTACTTTACTCAATATATTTTCATTGAAGCATGCCGGCATGGGCCTTACAACTAGGCCTGTTAATGATACCCAAAAATCCGAGGCCCAATTTGACATTGGATCCAATTATCTCAGATTCAGATGATGTATTTATGTAATTAGACTGGATTTGGACGTTGCAATGTACATTCAATTAATAATCAGATTGGATTCGGATTTGAGTCCATCCCATCTGATTAAAATCAGATCTGGATTATATTATGATAGTTATTGTTTTTAATATATAAGTTTTATATAATTATATTTAATTATAAAAAATATATTCTATATATTATATTATATATATAATACATTCAAGATGTTATATTTATATTAATTTATTATATATAAAAGTTGAAAAGTAATTAATTTTTTTATTTTCTAGTATTTTAAAAAAATAAAATTTGAATCCAAGTTCTTCACAATCTGATTGGATTCGGATGCAACAGTTGGATCAGATGCAAATTTTGTTGAACCCGATCCAATTACAACTTTATTTAAAATTGAGAGTGGGCAAGGTTCAAAGTATTGGAAACACAAGGTGTATTGGAAAGGTGATTTTAAGAGACATATCGAGATACACTTTGGAAACACATAGATACAAACAAAAAATCAAGATACACATGGATATACTAGAAAATCCTTAATATGAACAACAATAAAAATGAGTTTTATGTGATTATAACTAATTTATTTAAACATAAAAAATCATTCTTTAATGATTTATATAAAGTATTGGGATATAATTAGTAACTCTTGAAAAATAGTAGAATAACTAAAATGCATGTGTCTGTATATATACTAATATTTTTTTGAAGTCATTTATTAGTTAATATTTATTATGTATACAAGTTAATATATACCTTAATTTTTAATAAATAAATATAATTTGTATTTATCTTATTATTATATAAATTTTAATAATCAAATTTTAGCATTTGTTGGGAAACATCCACAAGGCAAGAAAGATTACTTCAAGTAAAAAAAACATGTTGTTTTAATAAGCAATTAAGGTTGTCCTAATGGTTAATTAATTATTGTTGTAAGCAAATAAATTGGGTTCAAAACTTATTACCTTCGGTTTTTGATTTTTAACAAGTTATTTGACTTAAATAACATTTAAATACATATTAAATGCTGTAATTAAAGGTAATTCAAATGAATATTTAATTAAATAATATTAGCATTTAGTGACTAAAATTGATATTAATGAGAGTGAAGAGATGAATTAAATTTAAATTTAAAAAGGAGAGTTTCGTATCGATTCGATATGGACAAAAAAATGCGAAACCATCTAATTATACATATTCCATGTGTCTGAACTCTTTCAAAATAATACGTATCAACCGCCAATCCAAATTTAAAACCTTGAGAGTGGGAGATGTTAACAATAAGCAAGCCGGGTTGGGTTGGAATTGAACCAATGGGTTCAGTCTCACGGCTTAACTCTTTGCTTCATGCGTTTTGTAACTTTTGTTATTATCATCACTTTGATTCTTTCTATAAAGCTGTGATTTGCGACTTCTCACTCTTCCTAGTTCCCACTTTGCTTTTACGCCAAGAAAGTGTGAAACTTGAGGGACGGGGGGAAGGGGGAATGGAGGCGTGTGATCCGAGAGGAGGGGTCCACATCTCGCATCTCTGCTCTCCGGATCTAAACAAATACGATGTTTGACTATTTGTAGTTGTAGGTGAGCCGTATGTATTTTAATAAAACCCCCCGTACGTAACAAATTGGGAATGCTAGCCCACCACGCGTCTTACAGTCAGGTGGTCGCAATTTCCACAAACCCGTATCTGTAGGATAAGCCCCATATCATCACTCATCAGTCCATGGAATCACCAAGACACCAACACGACGGACACACCCCTCCCCCCAACTTCCAAATAAAAAATAAAATTAATGATCGTTGGACTTGGATAAAGAAGCATCATCAGTCAGTCCCAACACATCATCAACGTCGGTGGACCCTACAGAAAAGAGAGGGGGAAGCTTTGGTGGGCCCTACCATTTGATGGGAATTGAAAAAAGTTTCATTCTTGGACTCTGCATATGATCCGGCCCACAAATCGTACTACTACTAACCAACGTGCGCCGGTCACCTTCGACGCACTAAAAGAAATCTCTCATCTACGACTGACTTCACGACACGAGCAGGAGGGCTTAAGCTTAGGTACGAAACGAAGCTCCGGCTGCAGTCCCAACAGATATGGTCCTGCTCCTGCTGTACAAAGTCTACAAAAGATGGTCCACCAATTCAGCGGCCTGATGTGTGGCAGAGGGTGGCCCCACTACCAGGCCACCACCCTTCCTGATTGTTCTCACTCCGTCTGACTACTACTGTCGGCAATCGGCACGCATAACGCCCATCTGAGCCATCTCTACTGTCCATAGTGGGCCCCATCTCTGTCAATGGGCTTGCATGCGGGCCATCATCAAAGATCGTTTGATTTGCGATACAACAGATCACATCACTTGTATCTTTTGTGTACCTTTCATACTCCAGATCATTGCTCCTCAAAAGGACCTAGACCTATTATTATTCATTTCTTTTTGGTCCTGCACTCCTGCTGGTTTGTGAATAGCTCCTCTTGGCGCTCCCACGGCCACGGCCACGGCCCCATAACTCCATAAGCTTTTCTTCCTTTTTAGCCGTGGTGTTGGGTCGGGTCGGAAAAGAAAAGGAAAATAAAGTCCACCGAAGCACGATGCCACGAGTCACGACCCAGTGTCCAAGCTGGCCTTGGCCTACTAGCCAACAGTATTGCACAAAACGGGAAGCAGCGAAGCGGATCATATTAGTTCGCCTGAAATCCGGGTGGAGTTGGCGGGTCGGGTGAGAACTGCACCGTGCCAGTCTTTCAGAGACTCTCAGAGACGGAACTCTTAAATAGCACAATAGCAGGTCAGTTTGGTCATTTTGAAGTAAATTTACCATATCGGAATGCTGACATCTGTAGAGACAATTACCAAATAGGGGAAAAAACACCCTAACATGTACACGTGTAAGACTTCTGATGAAGACGACAATATCTATGATGCCGATATCGGAAGAAACTTTACGAATCAAAACCCTGATTGGTCACCACTTTTAGGATATCATGCGTTTCCGGTATCATAGTTTAATTCGATGAAATGTAGTCAGATAAATCGGTAATAGAATCAACTCGAGTGGAATTTTAAGAATCCATGTATCTCTCTATATATTAATCCTACTCAGTCCTACTCTCCCAGCTTGGTGCTTATCTCATACAGATTACAGACACTGCTGTGAAGAAGAAGAAGAAGAAGAAGAAGAAGAAGAAGAAGAAGAAATCGGGAACACACAGTCACTCAAACCAGACCTTCACCGACATACCGACTGCAACAACCATGGCGATGGCTTTTAAGATGGTAATCCACAACGTTACGGATGATTTCTTTCTTTTTAAATCGACTTCATTTATCTTTCGAGACTCTGGTTGATGGTTCAATTCCTTGGTTTTCTGTCTCTGAACTAAAATTGATCCGGTTGTCGATCGTATGTTGTCGACAAACAGGCGACGACCGGAATGTGGGTAACGGATGAGTGCAGGGACTCATTCATGGCGTTGAAATGGAAGAAGGTACACCGATACATCGTGTTCAAGATCGACGAGCGATCGAGGCTAGTGACGGTCGACAAGGTTGGTGGGCCCGCCGAGAGCTACGACGATATGGCCGCATCCCTCCCTAATGACGATTGTCGATATGCCGTCTTTGATTTCGACTTCGTCACCGTTGATAATTGCCGGAAGAGCAAGATCTTTTTTATCGCATGGTTCGTTTCTCTGTCTTTGCCTCTTTGCTAATTGCTATCTATCTCACTACCTCCCTTTCCGTCCCTCGATTCTCTGCTCGGTGATGACTAGTGATTACCTTTCCGATGACCATCCTGTCCCTGAACTTTTCTGTAATCACAAAGTTGGCTATAATTTGCGATTCGGAAAACGGGAAAAGTAGGAGTTCACGTTAGCTCTGTCGGGATGTGCTGTGGGGCATTGTGGGGCGCATATGTTTCGTAGAGGGAGATCGGACTTTTTGGACAATGCTGGGCCAATCACGGTACCTCACGTTAGCTCTGTATAGGTGGGCCATATATCAGGATGACGTGGAGTTCCGTGATTGGTCTAATCTTCCCTTTCCAGCCGAGGATTCGGAATCGAGAAATCCGCGGTGGGGCCGTGTCGATTCCGAGTCAATTTGATCTTGCAATTTGCAAATATAGGAAGTCTCTAATCGGATTGATCCCCTTTCCTGATTCCAATTGCTATGATCCTCTGGCTATTCTATAATTGCTCACCAATCAATCTTGGTTTCATTATTATAGTGAAATGGGGTTGTTTATGATTATTTTGTTCCGGCGAATTTCAGGGCTCCGACGGCTTCAAGGATAAGAGCGAAAATGTTATATGCAACCTCGAAAGAAGGACTGAAGAGAGTGCTCGAGGGTGTTCACTACGAAGTTCAGGCCACGGATCCGACGGAGATGGGGTTCGATATCATTAAAGACAAAGCCAATAGATGAAGAAAAGAAGCAGAAGAAGGAAACAGGAATAGTCTAATTAACCATTTTGTTTCTCTTCACTTTTTTTTTTCCTTTAAATTTTCGTATATACAGTGCATGTATCATAGAGGATGTACTAAAATTCTCTTTTCAGCTCCTCTCTGTTTCTCTTTTCATAAGCTGATTTGCTAATCTGTGGTAATGAATGTGTTGAAGCATGTATTTGTTTTCAGGTAAAATGTTATAGCATAACAAGGGTTCGTTTCGTTTGCATTTGGAATTAAAATTGGAATTGGAATCGAAATTGAAATGGTCTAAGAATCCTATAACCTGTTGGTTCAAACAAGGTTTTTATAGTCAAATTGGACAATGAACCGGTCAGGGGTCTGGTTCCTGGGTTGAATGGCCTGACCGTTTGTATCGAATGAATGGCCCATTCTGACAAAAAAATAAAAAATTTGAAAAATTAAAAAAAAAAACCGCCAAAACTATTAGACGGTTTGAATGGTTTGACTGCCTGAATCAGCAATTTATTGACCAAATTAACGATTTTAGAGAACTAACGGTCTGGGGTAAAATGGAATCAATCACCTAACCGATTCTCTGTTTTCTGATCCAACCATCAAGTCCGGTCCAATTTAAAAAAACCATCGATTCAACTGAAATGGAATCTCATTTCCAGACTCCTATCCCCGTGAATGAAACGGGCCCTAAGTTAAAAGTGGCTTTCAAATTTCCAGGTTCCGAGTTTCACAATTACATGATTTCCCTCTTTAAGACCCTAATAATTTAGCAATCTCCACACAGGCGCGTGCATCATGATATCATTTTTTGTCTCCCCGTATATGATTTCATTTCTCTCCAGGCTGATGAAGAGAATTCTGAATTTTGGAGTGGGTTAGGCGGTTGGGGTTTAAATGATCTACTTGGCAGAACAGTGAAACAAAGAGAAAGCTGTACCGAAGTTTTGCTTTTGATAAGTATGATTACATTAAACCAAAGTCAAATAGATAACCTTAAGTGGTCAATTTCGTCAGCATCCCAATTTTACTAAGCAAAGCTTCATCCCCACTTGCCAGCCTTACACACAGACACAGCTACTCCTGGATATCCAGGCTTGGGACTTGCAGTGCAAAGCAAGCTCAGCAGTGGTCGAACCCAATAGTACAGCATATAAATTGCAAGCCTAACCTCCATGTAATTGGATTTGTATTGTGATGATGATGCCAAGTCTAATCCCAACTGATATAGTGGCCATATGAATTGTGTTTCGTCATGCTCTATTTAATCTCATATCCATTGTTAAATTAGAGTTGCTTAAATCATTTCTTATTATAATTCATCTGCATTTTGGTCTATCCTTAGCCTTTTCAACTCTCTTAACAATTCATGTATCGGTGGCTTCCCAATACGTTCCTACAGCGAGTGTTTTGGGGTCTGACCTGGTTCAGGGGGTAGGCAGGCATTAAATCGATCCCTTTGAATCAGGTTAAAAAAAGAAAAAAACTAAAATAAAAAAGAAGTAAGCCTCGAAACAGTTTGATACGCCCCAATCCGCATATCAACTGGATCGAAATTTTGAACCTTGTAACCAGATGGGAGAACAGACGCGCATAGAAAGCCTTTGATTCCTTCAGTTATGTCAAGATATACAAATAGAAGGATAACAAGAGACGCGAGGATAAATTAATACTGAAACTAATCTTATCCTAACCCTAATCTAAGTGGATTGCGATTGGACACATTGATGTATCTCGATCATAAAGATTGTTACAATAGCACGTACCTAACACCCTTACCCACCACTTACGTGCAATGTTCCAAGAATAATCCATGCCTAAATGCCTTCCAAAAGAAAGAAAAAGAGAAAGGTGGTAAAGGCCCAACTAGTCCACGAATGGAAAAGGCAACTTTTACCTTGTTAGACAAAGAAGTCGCACCAGAAGAAAAAAAAAAAAAGTGATTTTGCTTTGGTAGTCGAAACCATAATTGGGCAATGTATCTGCTGCTTCGTTGCTTTCATGATTAAGATGGCTGAGGCCCCAAATGGGATCGGAGGCTCGGAGCTTGGATTCCATTCTAATTTTTAGGTTTCAACTCTCCACAAAATTCTACCCCAAAATAATGAAACAAACACCTCATATTTTTGCTAGAACTCAAATTGAGATTTATTTGAGACCAATCCTTCTACCATGGAAAATTTTAATAAATTCAGTAACTGTTTTCAACTAGAAATTGATCCACTTGCCCTGATTTTTAGGTTAAGTTCGGGAGTGCTTAAAAATAAGTATTTATTGGAATAAACACTTAATTTGGGATGGGACTACACCAATAATCATTTATTTGCATTTGGGAAATAAGTCCAAAATAAGAATAGATACTTATTTGTGAAGCCCAAACTTTGTGTTTATTTTTAAGTTTATTCAATAATTGCTTCTTTCCTTTCTGCCTATCTTGGCCCGTCATGTTATTTTAGAAATATTTATACTATCCCTATTTAAAATAAGTGCTATTTTTTTACATTATCTTAGAAATACTTATTTTTTAAATAAGCACTCCCAAACTTAACCTAATTAAGTTAGACTATGTTTGGTTTGAAGAAAAATGCAGGGAAAGAAAGGGAAAAATAGGAAAACTTTTACAAATATTATATAAATTTCCTTGTCTTTCCCTACCTTTTCCTTCAAACCAAATATAACCTTAGGGTTGCTGTTCTTATATGCTTGAAAAGTTGTTATTGGGTTGTGGACCCGCATGGGCATCCACTAGGCCCACTCCAAAATATTTTTTTTCCTTCTCTTATGAGTTATGAGAATAGAAGGATTCAATTTTGTTATTTCTCTGGATGCACCTAGTTGCTAACTGGGCTTGGACTATACAAAGCTTGGTCCATGACTGTTTAATGTACCCTCTCTGGAGATTTGACTGGGCTAGAGTCGTTCTCTGGACAAATCTTAAAACTTGCCATTTGGTACAGTTGGTTAAGTCTGGACTGTGGGTGCAGATACCTCATGCCTGGGATCAGATATTTATCTTCACCTCCCCATAACCTGAAAGCAGACATCATTAATAGGTACAGTAATTACACCTAACAAGTCTTACCTTACAGTCAATGCCCAGTATCAGTGGATGTGGGACCAAATGGGCCATCCATTCTACGAATGGCCCGAACCGTGGGTCCATAATCTATATTCTCTAATCTCTACTGTCTCGAAGAAAGCATATCTGGGCCAAAAAAAGGCTAAAGCTGGAGTGTGAGGACAAGATCCACATGTGGATCTCCACCGCTGGGCCAAAAATCAGCTTGCGTAGAAGCTTCTACTCCTCTGCAGTTAATGTAGATGGGTGAGAAAGTTCTATCTTTGGCTGTGATTAAAAGAAGAATATTGTGAAGAATAATTATAGTTTGTTGGTATTTTAGTATGGAACGAGGGCAATAAGGTAAATCCGCTTCTTTAGTCGAGGCTGATTTATCCAACCTGAGAGCAAAAGATCAGACGTCAAAGGCCCTGTTCAGGGGCAGAGACTCTGACGCTCTAATTAGTCAACTGTGTAAAAGGGGTTGGATGAGGTCTGAGGTGAGGGCTCAGACTAGGCACTTGAAAACAAAAGAACTAAAAGACAGGAGTGAACAACATGCTTTACCTGGAGGAAGACACCCCAATTTATACTTGACCTTGCCTTGGGAGTAATAGGAGGTGATTGGCAATGGGCGCCAGGCCGATGCCACATGGCACATCAGTTGCTAATAAGCATAACTTTATGAAAACTTCAGATTAAAGGTTTTTCTTCTTGAAATATTTTGGATTAATCAATACAAGTTTATGATAAAGATATTTTTTTCTCTACTGAAATGTTTTGTCTTTTTATGGATTAATTAATACAAATTTATGATGAAGATTTTTTTTTAACCTATGTTTTGGGTTTTTCCTACCTGAATGCCAAATCTGACCTTTCAATTATAAATATCAACTACCGGTCCCACACATTTTATAGTCAAGTGATTCTCATATGTGATATGACAATACATGTAAGATGGCGGTGATGGTGGCTTATGCTCTGAAAGTCTGGTTGGGAAGTGACTGAAAGGGAAATGAGATAAGAAGAGGAATGGTTGGTTGGATTGCAAAGGGAAGAGAGGAGAGAGAATAAATGGATCTCAATGTGAGTAACGGGTAAAAGTCCTTAAAACTGGGTATGGGATTCCTAATTATATTTAGAGTTTGGGTAAGTTACATTCGACAAGCTTCATGTACTATAACTTTTTTATTCTTTTCCATTTCAATTTTATCCCTTATACTGAAATGTTCTTTAGGCTGTGTTTGGTTACAGTGCAATTTTATTTATTTGCACTAATACAAATGCATGGGAACTCAAATGTAAAAAATACAAATTCTTATTTAATTTTATTTTGGATTTTACTTTATTCCGTTCCATGTTCTAATTTACTTAATTTATATTGCAATAAATTAAATAAGTTAAAATTTGAAACAAAAACAGGTCAGAATTTACACTCAAATCATTTGCACTGTCATGGTTTTGCATCAGTGCAAATTTATTTACTCCTTCCAAATAGAATCTTAATGTTTAATTAATACTTTAGAATGATTATATCATAATCTGAATGCTTTATTCTTCTAAAATATTCTAGGATTTGATTAAAATACTTGATCATTAATTAATATTTTAGACTATTCAGCACTTAGCTAATGCCCTTATAAAAACTTATTTTACTTGGAGTGTTGAATTAAATTATTAAGAGTCCAACTACTAGCTATTTGCTGCATGTTAAATCCATTAAATTAAAGATGTTACGCTGTTATTTTTTACAATTGTAGTGGATAATTGTCTTTTCAAATTAAGCACTAGAAGGTTTGATTTCATAGGATTCTCCTTCCTATATTGCATATTGTCCAAAATCCAAATTCTGAGTGATATTGGCGTGTTCCAGGTTAGACATGAATAAACCCAAAACAATCTAATATTTTTCGATTACTGTATTTGATAACCACAGAAAGCAAAATAATTTGATTTGTCTCATCTCCAAACTCACCTTATAAAAGAATAAATGTCCGTTCTTTCTAGAATTTTCATCCGATGTTTTCTATTCTTCTTATCTAAACATATAATGAGCATAAAGAGGGCATATATTCCTTTATTCCCATTTTAGAAATTATTCATATATAAATTGTCTAGAAATTGTCCATGATTATAAATTGTTTTGTCTTAGAGATACTGCCACATGCAAATGCACTTACATATTCACTAGTTAGATATCAAAGCATGAATGCATATTGATCTTAACCTAAATATTTGTTAGGAATGAAAGTGCAAATTATTAAAGTTGCGTTTGGATAAACCAGAGGATTTGTGCTTTTAAAGCCCCAAAGCCTCTTAAAAATATTTCGGTTTTAGATTATTATGTTTTTAAATTACTATAACTCTTACTAAATGTTCAAAATACTTATCCAAACAGAGCCTAAAATTTATATGATTATTGGTTGTTTGCTCTCTATTTCTCCTCTCTTAAGGTATTAAGATGAGAGTGTTTAAAATTATCTGATCAAGTTGATTTTGTGGTGTACTGAGATGGCCCTACGTGAAATGCATCGGATCATTGGCTCAATAACACGAAAAGAAAGAGATTGGCTGGTTGGATGCAGGCGTTACATAGCTCAGCATTTATGAAATATGTATGTGCATGTGTTGCAAACTCTGTCGGTGGGCTCGTACTCTAGGACTATGTTTTGTTTAAAAGAAAAGGTAGGGAAAGGGAAGGAAAAGTAAAAAAACCTATTCAAGGCTTTGTAAATATTTCTTTACCTTTTCCTTCAAATCAAATATAGCCTAAAAGTCTAACCCACTTCGGCATAAGCCGCAAATCCAATCCACTGGTCGATCAATTGGGGAATCCAGAATTTTCTTCCGTTTCTATTTCATTTATGAATAGGAATTAAAACGGGGTAGCTGATACTGTGGTACATTTTAGCATAGCTTTCTGGTCCAACTTTCTTCGTTATATGTTTTTAAATTGGGGGCTACTAGTAGATTTTGAGATTGCAATCCAAAAATCCTTAAATACAAATATCTAACTTCTAACATCCAACCGCTGTGGGGGAACATCTCATCAAACAGAGTCCTATCACTAAGGTCCTGTTTGGTTTGTTGGAATAAGATCCGTAAAATTTTGAATTATTTGGTTGGGTGGAATTAAAATCTTGTTTTCATTCTTTGTGGAATATTTCCCTCATTTGAGGGAATGATCATTCCTTCTCTATTCTTTGAAAATGAAATCTCATTTAATTGTTTCTAATTTCTGTTTAAACCAAACAAATTATAGGAATAGACCATTCTTATTCTAATTCTGATGGATGGATTTCTATTCGGAATCTAGCGGTAAACCCAATAGACCCTAAATTCTTTTGCTATACTTAACCACCATATAAGCATAAAAAGTGAGAGTTTTATTTACACAATAACTTAACTAATACAAGATCCTTAGCTAACTTCATAATTTTGTCAATCTAAAACAAGGAAAAAAAAAGGCAACTAATGCTCATTGTATTTCCATTGCATCCTGATGGGGCATAAACCACCCTAGTTGAACCATCAGGTGGATGACATTTGGTTGAGCTGCTCAGCATGATTAATGTTAAAAATGGTGATGTGGTGCAGTGCCATTCATCGAGATGGATGACGATGGTGCATCCCGCAGACCTCAAACATAGAGGGAGATGTGGTGAATGTCAAGCTTAGTGTAGCCTCCTTCATGTGATGACGACCTCTAAACACGTCACGTGTCCCACAAAATGAGGAGCACAAAGACACTCTTTGCATGCATTTAAGGGCACACCACCAAAGGTATTTTCTTCCACCACTCTTTCGGCATTTTAGCCCCCCTGCTAGCTTTTCAGCTTTTTAACTAAACTCGGCTATGACTAGATCTTTCACATTAGTTTGGCCTAACCTGCTTCTTCATCTTCTTATTGATTTGAGCATCGGACTACTCTTTCCCTATAAACCACCTCGAGGCTTCTAACCTTTTTTGCTTATAAGTCATTAGACCAATTCCAGTTCATCAAGACATCCACCTCAGCCCAAAAACCATCATATCCATTCATAAAAAAAATTAGAGTGTGACGAAATAATCACCAACCATAAAGATTGAACTTCTGTAAACAAAAGGGTTTTCCAAACTTCTTCTACACATTTTGCTTTATCAAAATCTAACCCGTTACCATTAGAAATAAAAAATCATGAGTGAATGCACAAATACAAAAAGTTGCAAATAAATTTGTTAATTTGTTCAACACCACCAACACAAATAAGAACAATTTTCAATTTCATTCATGTTTCTAGCCAGCAAAACATTTAAAGCAAACAGGGGATTGAATGGTTGTATGCTTGTATTGAATCTCTAGTTAGTATTCATTGATGTCGGGTCAACGTTTAATCCAATAAATTAACTATATAGTGGGCTGTGGAATCAATGATAATGCACCATACACTAGTGATCATAAGGTTTACATTGAGAGATTGAACGATTGTGGGCTCCATATATTTTATGACGTGTGTAAAAGCTCAATCTTGATGCTAACAAATAATCAATCAAGTGCTTCTATTGGATCCACATCCTACTGAATGGTTATTGCAACTAGTGATTAATCAAATAGCATCACAAAAGTGATAATCAATCAGGTGGATTTTCAAAATTCATTGAGAAGGGGAGGGGGCAATTGATTAGTCAAAACCTGTTCAATATCATGCCTTTCTAGCATCATAGATTTAAACCATGTTATCATGCCTTTCTGGCATCATAGATTTAAGCCATGTTCGTTTTGTTCTTAATGCTTCTTATCTCTCATCTCTTAATACTTTTAAGAGGCATTAAGAGATCAGAGACTACTACTACTACTACTAATAATAATAATAATAAAATTATTTAATAATTAATAAAATTAGTTATTTCTAAACAATTAATTATTAGTAATAATTTAATTAATTACTTAATTAATAATTATGTAATTGTTTATTTGAAATATATATTAATTGATTAATAAATATTTAATTCCTTAAAAATATGTAATAATTTATAATTGTTATTAATTTTACTATTTATTTTAGATTCATTTAGTTAATTGTTAATTAATTTATTAAATAGTTAAAAAATTATCTCATTTCAAGGTTAAAGTGGTCAATTGTCATTCACATTTCGAAATAATATTATTTACATAGAGAAGAATTTGAAAACTAATAAAAGTTCATCCACGCCAATACAGTTCTAAAAATAATTATTACAAAACATTCGCACATAAGAGAAATAGAGAATTTTAATCGATGCGGTCCTCCCTATTTTTTTTTTTTTTTTTTTGTTTTTTTTAATCACCTAACAGTCATATACGCACGCTCCTTTACTTCGCTATCGCTCAATCCAAAATCCACCATTCCATTCTCTCAATCAGATATCATTCGGTGGGCTTGGCTGGCTTCCATCCAAAATTGAGGTGTGGACGTTTCTTCTGCTTTTCGGGGTGATTTGGAAAATAAAGGAGAGTCAGGTATGAGAGAATCCGGCAGAAAACAGAGAGATGAGCAACCCGTCGCTGCCACGTTGCCCTGCAGAATATGATCATAAAAGCAAAGTTTTTGACACGTGGCGATATCGTATGATCTCACTGGGATACCTCATAAGTCATACCTCACCTCACGCCAAAAGCCTCATTCCCCAGGGATAAGATCATGAGATAAGCATGGAAGCCACGAATGATTCTTTTTACATTCTGCATAGTCTAAGTCATAGACGACATCCAAGGACATTTTCGTCAGTTCCAATTTAAAAAAAATGCAAAAACTTTAGATAAAATTAAAAATAAAAGAAAATCAGTGATACCGGAAAGACATGGTACCGAAGATCTTTGACCAATCAAAGTCTACTTATGAATTTTGATGATACCATCTGATTGGTGCATACGTTTTTTGTCTAAAAATAAAGGATTAAAGTAAAATAAATTAAAGCACAGGCACAGCCGTCCGATCGTATAGAGGCCTTGATGATGATGCGGGTGTATTACTACTACTATTACACCTTTGCTTGACGACCAAGCGATGGTCCCAGCCCAGACCCCAAATCTCCATTAATAATTCTTCTACTATATATAATGGTAACCCCACTTTGCTTTGGAGTTTTGAGGGAAGCTCAGAGATTGAGCGAGGGAGCGAGGCGATCGATATCATATGGCGATATCTGATGCAGTGGTTGGGAACCTAACAACTCTGTACCTGGCTGCAATAGCGGCGATCAAAGCGTTTGGTCTGATGTCGGGGAGGAGCTTCTCCGGCGGGTTTGTTCTAGTTGCATCTACAATCGCGGTAGGGGCGATCCTCGTCGGCACTCTCGCTTGGGATGTATCACGTAAGGCCACGCATGCTTTCTCTCCTGCTTTATCTCCCGATCCGACGGACGAGAGGTGTCGAGGTGGTATTTGTTGGCATGGTGTCGCCGTCCGGTCGCCGGTGTCTCAGGTCCGGTTTCGGCTCCCCCAACGGCCTTCGTCAGGCCGTCTTTAGAGAATACAAAGTTACAAAACAAAGCACTAAATTAAGTACTAAACTAAATCAAGTGAGGATGGAATTTTTCTTTCTGTTTTTTTTTTCAGTTTTCTTTTCTGTAAAATTTATGTAAATTGACTTGGAATGATTGGCGGTTCTTATGCGACTTGGATTTTGGAAGAGATTATTAAAGTGTGTGTATATGTTTTTCTAATAAAACCAGTGCTTGATACCTCACTCGAAGCGGATGTATCTGTTTTCAATCTCGCTCTCATGCTTGGAAAACCAGGAAAGAAAAGTGACTCAGCCGAGTCCAGTGGCGATTCCACCCAATTTGGTCTTAATTTTCCATACCTTTCTATTCTTTCAGAGTACAGGCTACCATGTGAAAATTATACTCTCTCTCCTTTTTTACACGTGCTATCAACTGATACAAATAAAGGCCATAAATAGGGCTACATTAATTCTTTCATTCCTTTCCAAAAATTCATTATAGATTTTATGCATTAATTCTTGTACAATATAATATATATGATATGATTATAAGAAAATGTTATATGATATGGAATATTTTTCATTACATTTATTCTATCTTCATAATTCCACAATTTAAAATTTCATTTTATTAGATATTGTCTTATAAAATCCTTGTTCATAATAGCAACTTTTGAATCAGATGCAAATTCTGTATCCAATTTAGATTTGTAAAACTATTTTGCGCTCTTAACTGATGCAAAATATCCTGAACTGATATGAAATCTGCACCACACTTTTTCTACCTTAATTTGATTACATTTTGTTTCCTATTTTAATTTACTCCTCCAATCCCACGTTCATTCTTTTTTATGAAGGGCTGCATTATTTTACTCTTTATAAATGAATTAAGCAAAGTCAAACGTGGAGACCTGGAAAGGTAAAGCAAACTTTGTACTCATTCATATTCCCATACATGATGAATTGCACCAGTTCAAATTTCATTTGCATTGGAGAAAATCGAGAGTCTGTTTTTAAGGTAGTAGTAATACTCACCATTGACCAGTCACCAAACATAGTTGTTTGCTGGTTAAATCAATACCCATCATACCTAGTGCATCTTTACAAGCAATTAATCGTATGTCATAGTCACTCAGCCTCTAACCCCAGTATAGAAAGAGAAGTACATCTTAGGCCAACTTTTAGGCCTATTCAATATGGTATGCATGTAAAATAAATATCACAATTAATGATTCTAAACAGGTGTGTTTAATTAAACAATCACATTTTAATGCTCATTAAAAGTTAATTGTCTTAAATTGGGATTAGATCTGAAAGAGTTGGCATGAACCATACTTTTCCTCAAATTTGTTTTCACAATCAATCACTATGTTGTAAATTTAACCCAATAGTTCAATATGTCCAGAAAATAAATGTGGCAAAAGCACAAATGCTAACATGAATGAGCTAGTAAAATAAGAAATGATAGGATTAGAAATGAATTTATCTATAGGAATTAAGAAATAACTTCAATAGGTGATAAAATGAGAGAAAGTGGAATAAGATGGTTCGGGCATGTGCATGGAACACCATCAACTGTGCCAGTTAGAACAGTTTTGAATAAACCAAAAAGGACATGGATAAAAGTAGTAAGAAATGATTTAATCACTAATTGATGGAGGGTGATTTGGCCCGACCTCGTAGCACTGGAACACGTGTGCGTGACCTGGTTCGACGAACAACTCAGCCTAACAACACAACCGTGACTCGACGGGAGGGACCCGTCGAGTCCAACATTGGCCACTCGACGGGTTAAGTGACTCGTCGGGGACTAGCGCCCAGCCAACCTTGACTCCCACCGAGTGTGGGAGATCCCGAACCCCTCTCAGGACCCAAACTCCTCTCAGGGCCCGAGCTCTCCCTTCCTAAGAAGGGAGCACCCCGGTTTTTTGCTGTGCCCCGAGGGAGAAACAACTCGGGGTAGCACCGTCGAGACTCCTATTCGAACTTGCTTAAGGCCTGCCTCTAGTGTGGGCACCTCAGCGTACCTCAACACCTCGGTGCAAGGCAAACCTGCCCCAGGTGGTTCAGCGTACAATAGCTCGCCAGGCTGCAGGGAGATCTGCCTGACATCCGTGCTTGCCTGACATCCGTACCTACCAGATCTGGTGGTAGGGCTCAGATCTCTTGCCAAGCGGCGTTCTGCTTTGCCGTCTCTGAAAAGCATGGCATGCCTGTCGAATCTGTACCTTGCAATAGCAGATTATAGCAGCAACCTGCACCTGCCACACCTGCCCTGGCAGTAACGGCTAGGGCAGTGGCAGTTATGCCAGATGTGATCGAGCTCCAATATAAAATAACCCCAACCCTCACGAAGCGAAGGTATTGAAACTAGCACTTTCAGCACTCTTAACTCTCTGTATCTTCTTTGAGTTTTCCCCAGAGTTCTAACTTAGCCATCGGAGTGTTCCCTCCGGGAGAGCTCCCCAGGAACCCTTTATCTTCTTCTTCCTCTTAGGTGCCGTTCATCACAACTAGGAGCCAACTCTCAGCCAGCTAGGAGTGCCCAGATTGTGCTACATCACTAATAATTTAACAATGGATTAAAAAAATAGACTTCATGTAGCCGACCCCTTATAATTGGGATAGGGCATGGATGATGATGATGAGTCCAATAACCACTTATCGTGTTGCCATGCATTGAACTGTATAAAGAGGGTGGATTTAGGCAATTCACTAAGGCTATGCTTTCGGATCACTGTGGAATTCTTTGTAAGTCCCACCAGTAAGGGTGTCAATTGGATTGGATTTGGTCTAATCCGATTCAGTCCAATGTGAATCTGTTATAAATTGGATCAGGTCCAATCCAATCCAATGAGTGTTTTGGACCAATTTGGACCAGTCCAATTTAATGTCTGGATCATCCAATCTATTAAAATTCATTTTGATTTAGATTGGTTTTAACCCAAACCCGGTCCATTGACATATATATTCTTATCTTAAATCAATGGACCAGATATTGGCTTAATCCAGCCCAATCCAATATAAATTTGTTACAAACGGACCAGGTCCAATTCAATCTAATAAATGTTTTAGATCGGATTGGTCCAATCCAATATGTCTTGTTCATGGTTTTTAAAAACAAACCAGTCAGGGGTCCGGTTACCAATTCGAATGGTTCGACCGTTCGACCCAAACGGCCGGCCCGTTCTGACAAAAAAATAAAAAAATTTAAAAATTTAGAAAACGGTCAAAACCGTTTGAATGGTTCAAACAGTTAACTGGCCGGTTCAATGATTTATTGACCAAAATCAACGGTTTTGGAGGAAAAAGTGATTTTAAAGGAAAACGAAACTGGCCAGGTGACCGGTTCCTGACTTTTCTGGTCCGACCGTCCGGTCTAGTCCGGTTTTGAAAACAATGGTCTTGTTGATCCATCCGATCCGTCCAATTTGATTTTGGACCGAACGAGGTACAATCCAAAACCAGTCGATTGACACCCTTACCCACCAGGGAAATAAAAAAGTAGAACTCAAAGGCTGCTAATTTGTGTTTGGATCAGGTGAAGCTGGAATCAGATGTGGAACCAATATTTTGAGTCCGCACTGACACTTGCCTGGGCGCATGTCCAAGCTTCATGCGGTTTACCCGTGCCCGCTGCATCACTCTGTTCATGTTCCCTTTGGATTTATCAATTATCATTTTAAGTTGCTGGTGTGGTTAAAGGCAACCGACACAATTACCACTGCCCACGTGCTATAGAATTGATGTGGTGTGTCATGATTGGCCTGGTGTACTGTAGTAGAACTGTAGATAATTTGGACTTGGAGTTGGAGTTGGAGCTGATCGTCCAACTTTTGCTTTTTACAGGTAAAACGGCAAAGAAGTGCTCGATCCCTCCACCGGGTTTCTGATTTCTGAGATCCATATTCCATACACAGGATTGCAAACTGTATCCGTTTATCCGAATTTTAATTCGAATTGGATCACATGATCTTCCCCTATCCGATTTGATTCAACTATGTTTGAATATTGTGTTTCTTGCTAAGAGTCAGAGGTTCAAGGTTCATACAAGTTATTCTTAGTATCTGTTCATGACATACGATAAGTTAGGGCATGTTTGGTTTGTGGGAATAAGGGTTTGAAATTGGAATGAAAATGGTCCATTCTGATTTCAACCATTTGGTTGTGTAGAATGGAATTAAAATCTCATTTTCATTTCTAGTAGAATGACATTCCTCCATTTTAGAGAATAGTCATTTCCTCCCCCTCTTTTGGGAATCAAGTCCCATTCCAGCTGATTTTCAATTCAGACTTCATTTCCCATATGAATCAAACAAGTCATGGGTATATACCATTTCAATTCCAAATCTTCCATGTGCAAATCAAACAGACCCTAGTTTTTCTCACTCACACGAGAGCATTGGCTGTATGGTAAGTTGCCTCTCTATTGTTTATTTTTTGGATAAATTGTTAAAACTTCCCCTAACTGTATCCGTATGTTAAATTAACTGTGTTGCAATTGCATGCAGAATGCCTTCAACAACATTAACTTGTCCATCGTCAACTCAACATACCCTTATTCCAACTATATTAGTTGGCTCCTTTGCAGTCATGGCAGGATTTAGTATTAAAAACATTTGGGGTGCAGATTTTCAGTCATTGATCAAACTAATTAGAATGTTTAAAGCCAAAGATTTGTCAAGTCAAATTACTGGTAGTGATTCCCATGTTCTTATTATCAGAAAGTCTGTTTGGTTTTGAAGAGGATGCATGATTAAATTGGAGGACATGAAAGATCCCAATGGGCAATGGACCTGTATTCGTTTATGCTTAAGAGGGTATAAACAGTAGATGTAGGAAAATACTGCTTTATTTGAATTTCCCTGCTACGTACATTTATGCCTCGTTTGGTTCACTGGAATAGGGGTCTGGAATTGGATCCGATTTCAACTGTTTGGTTGAGAAAAATCAGAATTTCATTTTTATTCCTGTTGGAATGACATTCCCCAATTTGAGGGCATGGCTATTCCCTGCCCTTCCCT